TCAGTAAGTTAGTACTGAAACGTCTATACAGTATTCAACCAATAAAGGTGGGCATGACCTGATTTAAATAAGGGTTTTGTTTGGGAGCCAAACAAAATATAATGAAGGGTTTTTAGGCAATGATTTACTTAGACAGAAATATTAAGTTGTGTTTTCCGTAGCATGGGATTGAGAAGGGCACCATTACTGGCTTGATGAAGCTGTCGATGGTTATCTATGTTAGAATTAAGACTGTATTGTGACAGATATGGTAATTTCCTGCCATGTCCTGGGGAGAACTTTATTGAATTAAATTTAAACATCTTTTGGGTGCACTGGTGGCTTTTCAAGGACTGATCTATACCAAGCCCAGCATGAAGTTGAGATGGCAAGCTTTTTAGCAAGCATGTAGTTTTTTGTTTTTAACATGTTTTCTTGGTAATACCTTTATTCTTAATGTGATAACGCTTGCTCAGTGCTATGTGATAAAATAACTAAGGGTGTCATGAGAGCTTCTAATCACTGTCAGAACATCTCCTGCTAGCCGTGTTTGGAGATTAGCTTGGACAGCCTAACACCCTTTTCTTGCAATTCCTCAGCATGATGTTTCACTCTGTGGTGCCTTTCTTGGTCCTCAGGAGCTGCCACATCTTATCTTGATGGCTAAGCTCTCTAGCCAAGTCCCGAATATCAAGGTGTTCCACACCACCCCAGGTTCCTTAAGTGTCCTGGCTGAGCAACTCCCATAGGGTATGTCTACATTGCATTCCTCCTTTGAGAGAGGAAAGCAAATGCATACAAATGAAATTGCAAATGAAGCAAAATGAAATTTGCATAATCGCAGCTGGCCGTTTTTCCAAAATAGCGTATTTTGAGAAAAAAACGGGGTTTAAAAAATGAGGCTTAAGGGTTATTTTGAAAGAAGGGTTTCTTTTCAAAATAACCCCGCTTTTTTCTCGAAATACACTATTCTGGAAAAGCGGCCAGCCGCGATTATGCAAATTTCATTTTGCTTCATTTGCTATTTCATTTGTCTGCATTTGCATTACTCTCTCGAAGGAGGAATGCAATGTAGACATACCCTCTATTGCCAGAAGAAATGGACACATATAGCACACAAGTTCACTGCCCAGATTGTGCCTCTCGTTCAGTGGCTGTTAGGGGAACCCAGCCCCTCTATTCTGGTTTCCAGCCCCAAAATCCTATATCTAGTACCCAGGGTCTATATGAGCACAAACCTCCCTGTCACTCGTCTGGACTCCTTCATACCTTGTCTGTTCCAGACTTCTACTCTCTTCCCTTTTCAGCAAAACCGCTATTTCCCTAGGTCTGACAAATGCTTCCTCTTGAGTACAAATCCCTTTCTCTTCCTTGTCCCAGGCAGTGTGACTGAAGTCTCTTTTCTGCTACCAGCTTCCTGTTTTTATAGAAACCCCTACTGTTCCTGCACAAGTGACCTTCCCTTACTTAGGGCTATTTATCCTATTTATCTAAATAGCCCCCAGTTTACAGCCTAATAAGTTAATTGACCCATCTGGTTACCTTAACTCCTTTAGGATTAATCAGGCAATATGCTTGGCATAGCGACTGGAGAGAAAGCAAAGTGCAGATGCTGGCCTTTTAGGCAGTCTGTCTGTCTGGGATTATCACAGTGCAGACTGGGAAATGTGCAGCCTAGAAAGAAGGCGAGGGACAGGTGTCTCTGGCCAACAAAGGCGGTGTCTACATCTGCATTTTTGTCAGTGAATTTTTTTTTGTTGGTCAGGGGTGTGAAAATGAATGCCTTGCTTGCAGCTGGAAGAAGTTTCACTGACAAAAATGCCAGCGTGGACAGTGCTATGTCAACAGGAGTCTCTCCCACCAACATAGTTATGGCCACTTATAGGCATGACTTAATTTTGCTGGTGGGAGAGCTCTCTCTCGCTGGCATAGAGTGGCACTCTAGGAACCTTTACAGCATCACAGCTGCAGTGGTACAGCTGTGCCACTGTAAGATCTGTAATATAGATTAGAAATGCAAAAATGTGGTTAAAAATGTAACTGTGAACTGGAGTCAGCTGACAAAGGCTAGCTGCGGGTTTTTAGTGTAGAGATAGTCCAAGAAGTCTGGTGATCTTGTTCTAAAAGTCTAGGTTGAACTTCTCTAGTCTGGCACTCTGGTCCCATACCATCCATGGTCTTGCATGATTTTAGATAGCAGGATGTCCACTTATCATAGGTGTTGCCAAGGTTCCAATGGTCCCATAGAGTTTGTTTGCAGCCACCTGTCATGGCTCTCAGTGTTCTGTGCTGTTATTTAGCTCTAATTTACCTCTAAATGTCTTCTAAGACCTCAGTAAGAGGTGGAAGTATTGGTAATGCTGCTAGACAGTATTGACACCTGGGGTCCGGCAAATTCTCTAGTTTGGCACCAGTCAGGTTCCGAGGGTGTTGAACTTGAGAAGTTCAACCTGTACTAAATTGATGCCTGTTTTCCTATGTAGTATGAAGCCCTCGTATATTAATAACAGGTAAATTAGTGAACTGATAAATTTAAATTCTTTTCAAGCAGCCAAATTTTTATAAATATTTAGGAGTCTAAAGATGCAAATAGGTGCATAAAAGTGGGATTTACAAGGGGCCTAAGTGATTAATTCCTATTTAATTCAAAGTTAGGTTTAACTTTTTAAAAACTCATGAAGCAACCATCTGCATATTTAGGCACCTAAATACCTCTGAAAAATTGGCCCCAGATCTTATTTTATGAACTAAATTTGGGCAGCATTTTCTGCATAGGTAGTAAAGGAGGTGGGCAAGCTGGGCAAAACTTTTAAACAGGCTCTCTCCAGTAAAACCTGCAAAATTAACACATATCCTCTCTGGTCAGATCCATGACACGGTATTCTAACTGGGTACCTGAATAGGCAAGTTTACAGCCTAATAAGTTGGTCAGCTATTTATCATGTGTACTCCCTGTCTATGCTGCTCTATATCTCCCATTAGCTTCATTCACTATTATTCTAGTTCTGCAAGGTGCAGAACACCCAAATATCCAATTGACTTAACTAGGAATTGCACCTCCCAAGAGCAAAGTTCCTTGCAGGAAGAGGACTACAGATGTTTTCTAGTCTTATCTTTGTTAGCAATTCACAATACTTGATTAAGACTAGCTAGCTTCCTAAAACCCAAATGAAACATGCCAAAAATAGGGTGGGGGAATAATATATATTTCTATGTCTGACAACCTTCATTGTTTTTGGCTTACAAAAATATTCACTGACACAGCAAAACTCTGAATTTTTTTTGATAATTTTTCACATTTTCCCAACTGATGCAAAATGATGAACACAATGACAGAAGAACTGAAAGAAAATCTCACAGAATGCAGCAAGCACCACTCAATGCAGTTTTCTGGGATCTTACTTTTAATGTAGTATTTTCCAGTTTATACAATGCTAGTATTTAATATATGACATTTTGAGATCTCATAATTTTCATTCTGTAAAACACATTGGATAATGTTGCTGATATTTGAAAAGGGTTTTGCTGCTAAAAAAGGATTTAGGTTCATTTTTTCAATAATTAACTTTATTTTTTTAAATTGAACATCATTTTGCATTATTTGTACCAACACTTCAAATCACTGTAACAACGCATATGATCTTTTATAGCTAGCTGGGGAAATTGCACCAATGGTTCACCTACCTGGGAATTTTGCTTGTATCAGGATTTTTGAATTAGGTCTTAAAGTTTACTAACCTAATTCCCACTGATTTAAATGGAAGTAAGGTTGACTGCTTTGGGCCAGTACAGAGAAAATTCATTAAGGGCCAAAGTTTGATACTTTTAACCATAATGAATAATATCTTATTCCACAAGTGGTCCCATTGGGGCGTGGCACTATGAGTCAAGGTATCAGCCTTTGGCCATTACAAGTAAATAGAAACTCAGGGTCCAAATTATCACAATTGTAAGAACAGTATTAGCAACAATAATATCATCTTGTCACTTTAAAAGACAAAAAAAAAAGTTCAAGAATCTAAAGCAGTAGAGAGTAAATACTGGCTTGCAGGCCAGATTTGATTCACCAGGGTTAATTCTCCTGGTGGGTGGCCACTGCTGTATTTACATGTGCCTCTGCAGGTACAGGCACTTGCAGCTCCTGTTGGTTGAGGATTGCCATTACTAGCCAATGGGATCTCTGAAAAGTGGTGTCCCGGTCTGCGCTGCTTCCTTCAGCTCTCGTTGACTGGGAGTGGTGATCTATGCCCGTGGGAGCTGCAAGCACCAGTACCTGCCAAGGTGCAGGTAAATAGAGCAGTGGTGGCTCACCTGGAGCTAAATAAGAAATGGCAGATTTTCCAGTTTTTAAAGGGAAAATAGGGAAAAATTAGGTACCTTTTGCTTTAAATTAAACTTAAAACTACATTTTTGCCTTTTATTTTCTAGTTTTCTGACTACAAACCATGACTCTTAACACATAACTAATATTCTTGTTGATCAATATGTTATTTTAGATGCAACATTACTTAAAAGCATTATCTCATTAATGCTAATCAATCATCTATTAGGAATTTTAAAAGTTCTGTGTTTTAAAATGCAATGGAACTACATTATGAGCCAGAGCCTCAGCTTTTGTAGATGGGCATAGCTCTACTGAAGCGATGCTTATTTACATCAGCTGAAGACCTGCCCGAATTCTATTGCATCTAACAGGGGAAAAATAAATTTCTCGAGCAATTCTGCCTCATATTAAAAGTACCAGTCTCTTTACAGTTAGAGCCCAGTCCTGCAGTTCTTATTCATTAAGTTCAAGAGAGAATTTTCCTAAGTAAGAAACATGGGTTCAAGCTCTGATATTGCTTTCTCTTTTAAGAGATTAACCTTAGTGGTGGCTATAGAAAAAAAAAGCAATGACTTACAGCATCAGCTGTATTTGCTATAGGGAAAATGTTACTTCTTTAGAAAAGAAAATGGAGTCTTACTGAAAATAAATATAAGCATACAGGCACTTATGTGATTTTGTTTTGTTGGTTGTGCAGCTGCCTTGGGGTTTGAACTTCTGGTAAACACATTGGCCTGTTAAAGGACATGATTCAGACTGTCCCAGATCCAGCAGCTCATATCAAGGTACGTTTTCTGTTGACTGTAAGTCTTTAAATGTTCAAAAAAATGTTAAGAAGTGTAGGTTCATATTACACACCTTCTATGTGACTCTAAATTCTATCTGTTTACTGTATTGGCTTTTTCATTCTTTTATATTTGCGTGTTGTCAAATCATTCACAATATTAACTTTTTTTTTTGGTATGTGTTCCAGAGACTGAAATAGACTTCAGTTGGTCCTATCACACAGAATTTTGAGGATAAGGAGATAAGTCTCTGTGGATTATAGAACTATGCTTTTTTGGCTTAAAATTCATGATGTTCAATAACTGGAACCACCTGGAAAATACAAAGCTCTCACAGCTCACACTGTTCCGTTGAAGTAAATGGTAACACTACCATTGACTTTATGGCAGCAGGAAACTGCACATAATGTAGAAAACAAAGCAAACCAAAACACATAAAACCGAGTTGGTTCTTAGTTGTATATAAATCAAAGGGAGTTTGGCCACTCACTTCAGTGGGAGTAGGAGGTAGCCTACACTGCAACATTGCTTTTCTACATCTTGAAAATGGTAGTATTTTTTGAGCTCTACTGTGTGCATCATATTATAACCCGAAGCATTTTCTTACCTTTCTGTCACAGAACAGATAATATTTATATAAGTAGATTTACAAATGTAGCCAACTGCTGTATTATTAAGAACACTACAGTTCTGGAAATAGAACATATGAAGTACTTCATTACTTGAACCCAACAAGGTAGCATTGATTTTGAGAATACTGTATTTCTGCATATTATAATATTTTAAAGGCCTTGTTTGGGAAGAGTTTTATAACTGTTGAAGAAATGACAGATTTGCCTCCTAAAGAACACTGCTGGAACTGTCATTGTCTACTAAAGAAATGAATCTGCACCAGAGTCAAAAGCCTACTGATATTTATTTAAAACCAGTACTTCAGGACTCTGTGGTTTAGGTTAGCATTGCTCCAGCTGTTTAAAGATATCACTTGATAAATAAAATCTCTGCAGTAAGAGAAATAGGTTGATTATGTAATTTGGTGCTGAGCATATTTTAAATGAAATCAAATGTTTCTGTTGAGCTCTAGTTTTGAGTATTAAAATTATCTGGGTTTTAATTTGTATCTTAGCATTGGGTTTTGCAGTATTTGATTCAATTTCTCCTATTGCTTAGTCATATTCCTATAGTTCTGTTAGTTGTTTTTATCTTTTGTGTCGTTCCTATTCAATCAATTGAAAAATACTAGTCAGCAGCCACAATATAGAAGAGCTACACTTCTGAAATACATTTTTATTGAATTGTAAGTTGAAACAAAAACGTATAACTAATATCAATAGAAATTGCTAATTTTTCCTATAAGAAAGACAAGAATGACAAACGGGCTATGGGAAAAGGAACTTTTCATGGTTTTCTTACGTTGAGATGTTTTTAAGGAATATGAGCCATAAAATATTAATGTGCATAATATGCTGATATGAAAATAGTAACAATTCAAATGTTTTAAGGCAGCAAACATATTTTTGCAGAGTGTTGGTATTTTTAGAGCCAAAGATAACACCAAAAAGAACTGACTTTCACATATTTTGCCAAAAATGGCATGAGAAGCAGTTTTTTTCACAGTGGGAATTGAATTTCAAAAAGGTGGGAGGTGCGGTGGGGTAATATTTGTGTGTGACTTTTGTGGCAAGTCTAATAATGAATGCTTCTGACAAGCTGGCAATAGCAATCAACCATTTTTCCTGAGTGTATAAAAACACAAGGATAGGTCCTGCATCTTCCAGCAGTAGTTACTAGGCTTTTTATAAACTAAATTTGAACCAGGCCTGAGATATGTCCATATCCAACTGTGTTCCAAAAAACACTTACTACAGACACAGAAGACTTATGAGTTATTCTGTCAACATAGTACTGCTGAGCAAGCAAACTGTTTACTTATAAGAATAAGAAGTAGAGTCTGTTTGCAGCAGCAAAATATGCAGAAATTGGTTATATATTAAAATTTGGGCAAGTGTTTTAGCCAATTCATGTGCTTATCATGTGAATGAAATCAGTACTAGACAAATAAACTTCAGATCCAGCACATTAATATTGTAAATTACTTTTGTATAAACATATTCGCCAAAAAGAATTAGGGGATGATCCATTGATTAAGACTTTAGCAGTGAACTAGATGAATTACCTAAAATATGTCACCGAGAACAATTATGTGTTGCCAGGAAAATGAAATAATTGGACTAATATTTCTTTATAGCTCTTTTTTTTTTCAGGACACTACAGTAATTTGGTATCAGTTTAGTAATTCATATGACATTGTTTAGTTGTAACTATTACTTTACCTTACTAAATGTGAATATGTTTGACCTTTTTGAATATTTGTAGATCATAGAATCATAGAATCATAGGACAGGAAGGGACCTCGAGAGGTCATCGAGTCCAGCCCCCCGCCCTCAAGGCAGGACCAAGCTCCGTCTACACCATCCCTGACAGATGTCTATCTAACCTGTTCTTAAATATCTCCAGAGAGGGAGATTCCACCACCTCCCTTGGCAATTTATTCCAATATTTGACCACCCTGACAGTTAGGAATGTTTTCCTAATGTCCAATCTAAACCTCCCCTGCTGCACTTTAAGCCCATTACTCCATGTCCTGTCCTCAGAAACCAAGAGGAACAAATTTTCGCCTTCCTCCTTGTGACACCCTTTTAGATATTTGAAAACCACTATCATGTCCCCCCTTAATCTTCTTTTTTCCAAACTAAACAAGCCCAGTTCATGAAGCCTGGCTTCATAGGTCATGCTCTCTAGACCTTTAATCATTCTTGTCACTCTTCTCTGTACCCTTTCCAATTTCTCCACATCTTTCTTGAAATGTGGCGCCCAGAACTGGACACAGTACTCCAGCTGAGGCCTAACTAGTGCAGAATAGAGCGGCAGAATGACTTCACGAGTTTTGCTTACAACACACCTGTTGATACAACCTAGAATCATATTTGCTTTTTTGGCAACAGCATCACACTGTTGACTCATATTCAACTTGTGGTCCACTATGACCCCTAGATCCCTTTCCGCCATGCTCCTTCCTAGACAGTCGCTTCCCATCTTGTATGTATGGAACTGATTGTTCCTTCCTAAGTGGAGCACTCTGCATTTCTCCTTATTAAACCTCATCCTGTTTACCTCCGACCATTTCTCTAACTTGCTAAGGTCATTTTGAATTATGTCCCTATCCTCCAAAGAAGTTGCAACCCCACCCAGTTTGGTATCATCTGCAAACTTAATAAGAGTACTCTCTATCCCAATATCTACATCATTGATGAAGATATTGAACAGTACGGGTCCCAAAACAGACCCTTGAGGAACTCCACTTGTTATCCCTTTCCAGCAGGATTTAGAACCGTTAACAACAACTCTCTGACTACGGTTATCCAGCCAATTATGCACCCACCTTATCGTGGCCCTATCTAAGTTATATTTGCCTAGTTTATCAATAAGAATATCATGCGAGACCGTATCAAATGCCTTACTAAAGTCTAGGTATATGACATCCACCGCTTCTCCCTTATCCACAAGGCTCGTTATCTTATCAAAGAAAGCTATCAGATTAGTTTGGCATGACTTGTTCTTCACAAACCCATGCTGGCTATTCCCTATCACTTTATTACCTTCCAAGTGTTTGCATATGATTTCCTTAATTACCTGCTCCATTATCTTCCCTGGGACAGACGTTAAACTGACCGGTCTATAATTTCCTGGGTTGTTCTTATTCCCCTTTTTATAGATGGGCACAATATTTGCCCTTTTCCAGTCTTCTGGAATCTCCCCTGTCTGCCATGATTTTTCAAAGATCATAGCTAAAGGCTCAGATACCTCCTCTATCAGCTCCTTGAGTATCCTGGGATGCATTTCATCAGGACCTGGTGACTTGCTGACATCTAACTTTCCTAAGTGATTTTTAACTTGTTCTTTGTGTATCCTATCTTCTAAACTTACCCTCTCTCTGCTTGTATTCACTACGTTAGGCACACCTCCAGACTTCTCGGTGAAGACCGAAACAAAGAAGTCATTGAGCATCTCCGCCATTTCCAAGTTCCCTGTTACTGCTTCTCCCTCCTCACTAAGCAGTGGGCCTACCCTGTCCTTGGTCTTCCTCTTGCTTTTAATGTATTTATAAAAGGTCTTCTTGTTTCCCTTTATGCCTGTAGCTAGTTTGATCTCATTTTGTGCCTTTGCCTTTCTAATCTTGCCCCTGCATTCCCGTGTTGCTTGCCTATATTCATCCTTTGTTAGTTGTCCTAGTTTCCATTTTTTATATGACTCCTTTTTTATTTTGAGATCATGCAAGATCTCCTTGTTAAGCCAAGCTGGTCTTTTGCCATATTTTCTATCTTTCCTACACAGCGGAATTGTTTGCTTTTGGGCCCTTAACAACGTCCCTTTGAAATACTTCCAACTCTCCTCAGTTGTTTTTCCCTTCAGTCTTGCTTCCCATGGGACCTTACCTACAAGTTCTCTGAGCTTATCAAAATCTGCCTTCCTGAAATCCATAACCTCAATTGTGCTGGTCTCCCTTCTACCTTTCCTTAAGATCATGAACTCTATTATTTCATGATCACTGTCCCCTATACTGTCTTCCACTTTCAAGTTCTCAACTAGTTCCTCCCTATTTGTTAAAACCAAATCCAGAACAGCTTCTCCTCTGGTAGCTTTTTCAACCTTCTGAAACAGAAAGTTGTCTCCAATGCAGTCCAGAAACTTATTGGATAGCCTGTGCCTCGCTGTGTTAGTTTCCCATGAAGCTGGAAGGTCATATCAAGTGGGGTTCTCAAGGGATTGATCCTGATTCTTTTTAATATCTTTATCAATGATTTAGATAATGCCATAGAGAGTTATAAAGTTTGTGGATGATACCAAGCTGGGAGAGGGTGCGAGCAGGGATGTGGGGCTGGAGCAGCTCTCTATCTGCTATGGGCAGAGGACTGCTCTAGCCCCGCAGGGCCCACCAC